AAATAGTTGAAAAGTGATATAGCATTAAGTTAATATTCATTTTTAAACTGGAATTCTTGAGATGTGTTGACAAAGTAGAAAGGGTACGAGATCAAGACATTTCAGGACACATTTAGTGATTGTCTACGAGAAATCCTTAACCTCTTCGAAAACACCATGGAATCTAGTGGACCTAGATACTAAATGTTCATTATAATTGTAAGATTTCCTATAACCAAGCATCTCAACTCCAACAAATTAGATGACATTTCTTTGTTTAGCACCGACAGGTACGATGGGATAATTTTGAAAAACTATTGCATTGCCTAATACACATCTAATGGCACATTTAATTTTTTTCCGCGAATACTTGTGAATGATTCTCATAATTGTAGGTATTTCTATAAAAGTTTATCTAAACTGAAAACTTAGTAGCTTAGTTTCAATAGAGCTTCACGGTTTCTATGATGTCTACCTCAAAATATGCTTATAGTATACAAATACAAGGTAGAAAAACGTCTTTCGCCGACCAACTATGCTGAGCAGCGAGACACATAAACGACACATACGTATAACTTTCACTTCCCTGGGACCCAGAAATTTATAGACGAACTGGCACTCATGGCCGTACGTTCTTAAATTGCACCACACTAGTTTCTTCTTGACTATACCGTGATCTTCTGCCTGCCCTACTTGACATAGGAGACAAGTGAGAGAATAATTAAATATTTTCCCCGTGTACTTACTGCACCGCGTTTCAAACCACCTCTTAGTATCAAAATGAGTGATCTAAAAGAGAATGTGAAATAATGCAGACGAAGAGAAAATGTGTCAGAGGTTTACATTTACTTGCATGAACACTCCCATGAACACCAGAATGTGAAATGCTTTTTCTTTGTTTTAATTCTTCAGAGAAAATAGAAGGCAAACATGTGTACTAAGAGGCAGATACATTTCTGAATACCACATTATGTTTTCTTTTAAAACTTTTCAGTCCCTTTTAAATTGCATTTAGAACAATTTGAGACAATGCAATTTATTCAAAACCAAGTGCAGGAGATTTTCATTTTTTAAAGAAAAAGATTTTCTTTTCACGAACGATTTCGAGTAAGGGATGATTATCTTTAAATCTAAATTACGATCGCTAGGAAGCTTCTACGGAACAAAAATCGCTGATCTCATGTCCTCCTAATACTAGAAAACTATATATTCGGTGTAATGCAATGAATAGATGGAATTATTAATCATTAATCACTGTTAAATTACTATCTTCGGTAGAATTCAAGTTTCCAGGTGACAACTCGAATATCTCCAGTAACATCTCTTCATACAGAGTTACGATGTCCGAGAAACTGCTGGAGTGTCAACCTTCGTATTACATTGGAGAAAGGTAGATTTAAGCTCTTAGCAAATTCTAAAAAATAAAACTAAATACGAATGAGCCACCCAAAAAATTATGTTCACAGAATAAACATTAAATAAATAACAGAAAACTGTAAATGACATATATACGACGTATATATGTAAATGACACTACGCCGATTTTTTTCAATTCTTCACAAAAAAAGACATCATATTTCCGAATGGCAAACGTCCTCATTCCCCAAAAAACTATTTCAATCCCTTGTACTTACTTCATTACAATTTTCGAAAGTTAACTTGATCATTTTTTAAAACTTTTTCTTTGGGGTTGGAGTCCTCTGCACCCCTTGCCTCCAGCACCGAGTGGTTTTGGTTTGTTTACGCTACGTTTCATATTTGGAGTTATCTAGCGCCTGTGCAAGGATTTGCCCTGATCCAACTTCGTATGCATTCGAAATGACTATCAATGAGCAATTAGAATACAAATCATATACCACAAAGGGAGATTGTAACGAACAAGTTCCATGGCTTTCTGCTCCAGTCAAGGGACCGATTGTGTGTGAGAAGCTCAACGCAAGGTGACCTCAGCTATCGCAGACACATGTTCTCAAGGAGCCATAGCGTGACAGAAGTGGAGCGCAATTTTCATAGTAATGGACTCTTGGAACTCCGCTCGCATGGAGGGTGCCTGCGTGACATACCGTGCCCTGCCTTGGAGCTAGTCACTCAGTGGGAGACTCAAATAAGTGGGCTAATTTGCACCTACATCGTTTGCTCAGCATATGTAGTTGCAAAGCTGCAACTGAAGCTTCGCACACCGAGAGGTTCTGGGATCGACTCACGAAATTGACGAATTCTCTTTCAGCTCAGTCGCGTAGTCGATCCTTCCTTTCCCATTCTTCGGGTCGGTACGAGTTTGTCCATTGCAAATCATCATATTGGACGGCGTTAGGGTTCTCTCAGCTTGTCTTGCGTGGTAGAAAACCTTCTCCATTACAGTTTTAGGTTAGGGGAGAGATTGGAAAAATCGTGGAAGTTCAAACATTTTTACCATTCTGAGCGTTCCTTTGCCTGATATTAATAGTCTTAGTTTTAAATATTAATTGATCTTATGAAATCTCTGTTGCTATTGCTAGAACCCACAATTTTATCAATTACTCTTTTTTGTACTGCCTCATTCTATAAATTAACAAATAAAGCACACTGCACAGTAAGGGACAGCGAAAATGCGAGAACGGAATTCGTTTAAAAGTAACGATAAGCAATCTCAATCATGTAATTCCCAATGAGGTTTTTAGTCAGCTGATCGACGTCCAAAGAGCATAAATTTCAAGCACACTTGTACGAATAGTACAGTAACCATTACAACATTTTTCTATTAACGAGGAGTCTGATATAGCTCAGAGCCTTTTTCTACATGCGAGGAGAACGAAACTCCGAAAAATGATCTATAAATGATAAAATTTTCTTCACTGAGAGAGAGGATTTAATCTCTGAAAGGTGATCACAGACTTTGCCGTGGGCGACAGGAATCATAGATTTCACCCATGAACGAGGAGAAATAATTCCCGAAAAGTAATCGCGTACTTTCCTACGAGCCAGAGTAAACACTGATTTACACACGAACGAGGAGATTAAATCCGAAATATAATCACGGACCGAAATATAGTCGAGAGCAAAAAAATATTTTACCCTAAACCAGGAGACTCTATCTCCTAAAAGAGATTGTACGTAGATTTTCGTGAGAGCAGAAGGGAAGACCGCATTCACCAACGCTTCGAACCTCCTGCTACTCCGTGCGGCTGGAAACTAGAGGCAAGTGCTCCGTTGCGCTTCCCATCGGCTATGAATACAGTGTCAGGAGCTTTCAACACTGGATGATTCACGGTTTCTGACAAGTGCTTCCACTCGTTGCAAATAGGTTCTATTTCCACGAGCGTTGCCAAGTTACGAGAAAGCTGTAGTGTCTTCGAGGATCGTAAGATATATTGTCTTGTAACTCTCACTCGGCGATAGACCTGGCGATAAAAATTCGTGTAAACATTCTTCGTCCATACTT